TCTTAACAAGAAGAAAGCTATCATGTACTAGGTTGTTAGATCTGCATATACACTTGAGTTAGAAGATAGGCAATGTTATATAAAGATAAAATAAAGTTTTCTTAAAACAAAGAATACAAAGGTATTCCCAACTAGCATAGAAGAAACTGAGGATAATAGAAGACCTAAAGAAGCTATATGTCCTAGTAATATAGCACATACATACAACCCCTTCCCTTGGGGGGACAGACCCCACCCTTAATTATCCATAGGGAAGGGTAGCCCTCTTATAGAATTTTCTTCCCAGCATGCCTTTCTAGCCCTTTAAATCTGGCAATACCAAACAGCTCCAGCCTTAAAGTTGCCATTTTTGTGAGTGTTTTATCTCTCTTCTTAGTAAGTACTTGGCTATGTTTTTTCTATCTTATTGCTGAGGAAAGGATGCAACTTTCTTCTTTCGATAGCTTTTATTTCCATATGCCCCCTGCATTGCAGCAGTGGGTAAAAATGTGTTTTCTGCTACCATGACATGTTTGTAGTATGATTCTACTTTGGGAATTAGATGGTACAGTCTGAGAAACAGGAACAGATTTACCTTGATTCTATCCTCGAAGTGGTGTCCTCTTGAGTCAGTATCTGCTCCTATGTTAACAAAGAGCTGGAAGCTAACTAAGATGAATCAAATGTAAAATAGAGCATTGGGATATCAGGCAGTGACTTTAAATTTAACTGGTGTCTTTCTTTGAAGTATTTTCTTCAGAGGAAATTTGGTGGCATTCTCTTTCCATTAAACCAGCAAAGAAGCAGGGCATTTGAAATTCTGTCTTCTCAAAAGCTCCTTGACCAACTATGGCCAGTTGTCTGTTGTCTGAAGAACACTACTGTGTTTGCTGTACCAGGGCTCTTTATCAGTGTTTAAGCTGCAAGATTTATGCACTGCTACACTTAGCTACAGGTTAAATGGACTAGAGGTGGTGTGGATCAGAAATTGATTCTGCCAACTGAAATGCAACTTCTAATGAGCTGTGGTGTGTGTGAAGTGGCTGAAAAAACTTTGCCTGGTAATCAAAGTTTGGTGGGCAAGGAGCTGTAGGAAACTGAATTTATATGGCTCCCAACCCATCAGAATAGAAAACAACTTATATTTTTTTCAGCCAGCCATACAGATTGACAAACACTGGTTAAAAAATAACCTGCCTGAGTCTACATATTGGTCCCAAAAAAACAAGCTGCTAGGTTAGACTGATTATGCTGACCACATGTTCTTTGCTTCATTATTTTCTGCAGCAAGAGAGAGAGACATTATTTGTTTTATAGGAGTGTAGTAGCTTCCAGAAGGTTAGCCCCTGATTAATATGATGGTACTTTCCATTTCCTCTGCCACTTTTTTCTTTTTACAAGACTATGCCAACACAAGAAATGTATCTGTTACTTAGTCATGCGGTATCCGGACCAGCTTGCTTTTGAAATAGTAGACTGTGTATCCCAGGCATACTGTATTTCTGATTTGCATATGGCAAAGGCAGCTAAGCTGAAGACCTTGTATTGCTTACAAGTCAGGCCACTAAAGTAAATGATTTATCAAGCGAAGGTTACAACACCTGTGCCTTTTTGTCATCAAATAAGGCCCAGGCCAACTGAAGTGATTCTTCTAATAGCCCAAATAGTAATTCAGTTTTAAATAGCCCTAAAAATGGGACCATACTGTAGTAAGCTGCTGGTGCAGAACAGTGATAGATGGGGGAAGTGGAGGGAGTGTATCTAGATTTGCACAATTGTTTGAACTGCTATAAAAACCTCTCCTTTTGAAACTTTAGTCTTCTCTGGGCTTCTACATGAACACTTACTAAACCAGTTATTTGTCTGATTTTTCTGCCCCAGATCTGTCCTGGTGCAGTAGGTATATCTACAACAAACTATGATGATGAAATATTCACTTTTCTATTTAAAATGTCTTCCTTAATGACTCACATTTAAGGACTTTTGGAATTAATTAGAACAGAGTGTTAACAGAAATGTCAATTGCTGATTTTTGTAATGGCCACTAAAAAAGGCATGTTCCTACCTTCTATTGTTTTAAGAAGAGGAAAAATAATTCCTGCGCCAGGCCAACAATGTTGTTGTTGTTGTTGTTGTTAGTTTGTCCACTATCTTATTTCACTGCTGTATGAGCCCCTTGCACATCCAGGTATGTGAAATGTACGTTCTACTAAATAGCACTTGCACGTCACTGTGGACATGTTTAATTCTGTAGCAACTTTGAGATTGATGACTATGGGTATGCAGTCTGACACAGTTTAACAGCTGCAAAATGGGAAGAAAATATGGTGCTTTTGAAAAGTTGTCTCTAAAATTTTGTCATTTCTCAAAGTTTCTATCTGGATCGGAACTTCCATGAAGGTCAGGAGTGTTCAAATCCAGGCTTTTGGTTTGGGCCCAGCTCTAGAATGGAGATGAACCATTAGAGTTACGTTAGGAGAAAATGGAGTTTCTAGACTTCTGCTGAAGCAAAAGTAACATTAAATTTACTAGCTTGACGCTCAGAAGTATTGAATGTTCACCTCTCCCACTGAACTCTTGGAGCTGTGAGTGTTGGCATCTCTCAACATCAGGACATACAATTCTTAACCTGACTACTGAATGCACTGTAAAATTCCTGATGGGAAATAGCAACACCAGCCACTTTCCATATATTAGTGTTTCATTTGTTTTTATTTTTATATTTTGAAAATATCCTAAGGGACGGCTCTGATGTCCTGCAAAAATTTCATTATAACAGTGGATTTGTTTTGACAAGAAGAGTGTTAACTAAGTCCCTAAACATTAACTTCTCGGTATTTTCACCCCACTTCTCTGATTTAAAACATGGTTTACTTCAGAACTGCTATATTAATAATTTCAATTCGCAGTGGGTTTTTATGGCACACTATAAATCCAGTATCACAGTGGGTCATAATGGTTATTCTAATGTACCCTGAAGTACAGTAGCACAGAGGATGCAGCTGTAGTAAGAGAGACTGGCAGTCCCCTTATCTATAGCAGCATGTTTTGCCTTAATTTGGAGTTATGCAGGGGTATTGTCATTTGCTATCCAGTATTATATAGAAGCACATACAATAGGGCCAGAACACTTTCCAATGGCCTAAATCATAACTTGCAGGGTTCAAAATTCACAGTCGTCAAATGCAAAAAAAATTTAGTTTAAAAATGCAAAGAAGTTTCATATCTTACAGATTCAGATTTTGTTATATTCCACTATGTAACAATCTGCCAGTCAGTATTGTCAGTCTTTTAGAAAAGCTATTGCAGCATTCTCCAAAGAGTTTCAAGTTTCTTGGACTCTGAAGAAAAAAGCCAAATGCTTGAAGACTTTAACAGCTCACCTTAACATTTTTGTATTTCCTTATTTCAGTGTATTTCTGTTTATTATGATCCTTTCCAAAACCACAAGAGAAATTCTATGACTTAAATGTAAAGGCGCATGGAAACTTGCCTTCTTTATCGATTAAACAGGAGGTACTAAAAGGGAGGCCCAACAACTGAAAACTGGGACACAGGCTTCCCTTTACTAATGAACTAAAGAAATCAGAACTTGAAGAGTTAACCCCACTCTCAGCTGCTAGTGTACTTTCTGTGACCCTGTTTAATGCAGGAAGGGTTTGAGATTCAATGTAGTTTAACCTGTGCTGTCGACACAGCTATAAACTAAAGCCCCTAACAAATGGTACAAAAGGAACAGATAGCAAGAAAACATTGTGCTCACAGGCATCTGGTCAAAGCCCTATAAATGGACAATTTTCAGTAATAAGTTACACAGTCATATTACACTGATAGGGTAGGCATTGATCACATCACAATGTGGATTCTGTCTTCATGCATGTCCTGAAATTGTAGCATGTGACATCTATGTAGCTATATCCTTATTATACACATCTAAGATCTGTTTCAAATTGTACAGAAGGGGATAAAAAGTAAAACTTCACCCCAGCTAAATTATTATTTTTAAATAATCACAGCCATATTAAATCATCACAAACATATTAAAAATACTTCTTAATCTTAACCTTTAAAAGCATTGTAATGTAATCAGGCAATCATTTAACTACAAGCCATAGTTGTCCTAGAACTTTAGTTCCTCTCATTTTTATACTGCTCCATGATAATGTGATATTAAGCACAGCTTTAATTTTTTTTCAACATCTGGCTAAAATTAACCACTAAAAAAACTGCCAACAATTTTCTTAATCAATACTAAGAATTTGATATAGCTCAGAAAAAGCACATTTAAACCCTGTCCTCCTCCTGAAGAAATAAAAATATTTGCTTGAGCTTCTGACTCAACTATGGCAAATCTCTGAATAGTCACCCCAACATCACTGCAGTGAAATATGGTGTTGGCTGCAAACAAGATGCTAGAGCTTTACATTGTTGGTTCTTTGGTTTAACTTGCATTTTAACATCTGAAGCCAAATTTTCAAAGGCCCTCCCTTAACTAGGCCTTCATAGTAGTTGTGAGCACATTGGTTTCCATATCTCCCGGGCCCCGCACCAAAAAAAAATCACCTGCATGCTCAAAATCTTGCATACAAATGGCAAATTAGAAACTGGCTCCTGTTCCCATTGAAATGACTTCAGTGGTGCAGGATTGGGCTGAAGTCCATGATTACCTGATTGGCCCATCTGGGCTTTTGCATGTGCATGTGCAAATAGATGCACTTGCAAATATGTCAGATGCAATAAAGGAATTTGAAAATTTGGCCCTAGAGGGAAAATTGCACACTAGAAGCCAGTGCCTTGGAAAGCAAGAGAGTTTGGAAGAATTATGGAAGAATTATTACCATATAAGCCAATAAAACACAACAGACAAACACAAATTGTGAATGACATTTCACCGTTGTTACTGAGACCATGTGGGTGAATTGACAGTGGTGAAGAAATGTGGCCCACTTTGTAAGGAGACATTAAAATACACAGAAGAATAACAAGCTGCACTGCATACAGAGAAGTTGAAAGCTGCCCACCTGTGTCTGTTGAGGGATATTTACAAAGCTTGGATCCCGAGGTCCAACACTGACGAATCGGTTTGCGGGGGAGGTGCTGGGTGTCGAGTAGGCTGTGAAGGGAAGGGACACGTGCGTTGAGGAAGCAGCACTAGATCACACACAAACAACACCAAACACACTGTCTCAGAGCCACCTAAGCAGATGTTTAACACAGAAATGTGCAAACGTTTTAGAGAGCAAGAATTTGATTGTAGACACTGGAAAGGTTTGCTTTAATGATGAATATATAGGCATGTACATAACTGGACTAAATGAAAGTCACTCCTTTCAACATACTCAAATAAGATGATGTAATGCATCCAGAAGAAGATGTGCTCAGTTCATCTGAACCGTTTTTGTCTTTGAGAGGGGCAGGCCTCTCGGTACAAGGCTGTACAACATATACCATAGATCCTGATCCTGCAACTTTGTTCCCAGGTATCTTCACCCACATGAGTAATTCACATTGATCTCACTAAAGCTATTGATTTGAGTGAAGTTACTCATGTGTATGTTACCAGGATTGGGCCCTTATTTCATACCAGTATAGCACACTACAGGTCTGTTGCATCTTACGCGAATTTAACATGCGCGATTTCAACTTTACGCGGTCATCAAAAACAAAAAAAACAAAACCAAAAAAAGAGAAAAATAACAATTTTAATACTATACTTGTAGTGCGGGCGATTTCGCCCGCCATTGAACTCAATGGGATTTTGGCTATACGCTGTTTTCGCTTTACAGGCTAACCGCGGAATGAAACCCCCACGTAAGATGAGACAGACCTGTATACAGTTAAAGCCCTGATTTTTCCCATTGCTGGAGTCTACATGCTCTTAAGTACTCATGTGATCTGTTTGACAAACTAAGATTCCCTTGGTAAAAAAATAATGGGTTGCAGTTTGGTTGGGGTAGTAAGTGCAATCAGTCTCAAGGCTGAAACTCTTTAAAAATTGGAATGGCTCCCATAAAATGTAAAGCTATTAAGAGCAATACAAGCCAAGAACCCAAATTACTTCCAAACTTGAAGTACTTTAATGATTTTATTGTTGCTCTACATCTCTCCATTGCAACTGTCCAGAACTCAGGGCAAATCCAACCTCAATAAACTTTCAGTATGCTAAGTGTTCTGCTGGTTTGACAACTGCACACACCATCTTCTTTTCTCAGTTTTCTGTGTTTGCAGATCTAAATATGTACCTTAATAGTTATATATGATTAAGGGCCAAGGAATGCACTGTGCTGAATAAAATCCATAACATGTGAAATTGGCAATCTAACTCCCTGATGAAGTGGTAAAAATGGCTGTTTAAAAAAAAGGAAATCCCTTGCCAAATTCCAGTGAAGCTAAGTTTTAAGGTTACATCTCATATTGAGGAAAAATCAGGATAATTAATTATAAATAAAGATACTGAGTTGTCAGTAAAGGTGAAATGCTACTGCCTTTTTTATAAAAGCCAAGAGTTTGGTGAAAGATAGACCTTTGGTTTTGAGACTACAATATATGGCATCCTACTTGTAAAGTCATGTCTGGCTACAAGGATCAGATGTCAATAGAATGATCTTTGAGGATATGTTATCAAAGTGATGCTATTACTAACGCATGCTTGAGGAGGTCTTAAATATGGATTAGGTCCCCACCCTGTGAGAAACTGAACAATTTCAGTTCCCACTCCAATGGAATTTTAAGGTGCTCAGCACTTTTCAGAATGGTTGCTATGTTGAGTTTCTCCTCATCCCAAAACTACTGTAAAAGCTTTGCTAATATTCACACAAAACATGGTTGCCTTTCCATAATTTTCAGCAAAGATTTAATAGGAACTTAGCGCACTGTAGTGAGTTTCCGTATTTTTAAGATTATTTTTACAAGGTACTCCCTCCTGGCATGTTACCAAGTATTTCTGAGTAATTACAGCTAAACTACAAATGCAGAAATAAATGAACAAAATAGAATTTGTGATGCATACTCCTTACTTTTTCATGTGTGTTCACTTGGTAATTTAAAAAAAAAAAGCCAGTAATTCACAACGTGTGCCTGTCAATAGCGTCAGCTGTAGAGGTTCTTCTGAATGAGGCAATTTTTTTAGAAATCTATAAATTATCTTTGCTTTAACTTGCACAGCCTCTCTCCTTGTGATTTAACTGTAAGAGGCATCTAACACAGTAGTTCTCAACCAGGTACGTGTACCCCCCGGGGGTACACAGGGGTGTTCCGGGGATACATCAACACATCTACATGTTTGCCTAGTTTTACAACGGGCTACATAAAAAGCACTAGTAAAGTCAGTACAAACCAAAATTTCATACAGACAATGGCTTATTTATACTGCTCTATATACTATACGTTGAAATGTAACTACAATTTTTATATTCCAATTGATTTATTTTACAATTATATGGTAAAAATAAGAAAGTCAGCAATTTTTCAGTAGCGTGCTGTGACACTTGTATTTTGATGTCTGATTTTGTAAGCAAGTAGTTTAAGTGAGGTGAAACTTGGGGTACACAAGACAAATCAGACTCCTGAAAGGGATACAGTTGTGTGTCTGGAAAGGTTGATCTAACCAACCTTACAATCCTACACATAACAAGAATGAAGATTCTTCCTGCAGCAGCAAGAGTTGTCTTAGAGCTCAAAACTGGGCTCTTGCTATCTGGCTCTTCAGAACTTCTTCATGAGGCAAAATGTACTCACTGCAACCTTCATGTGAGTGGGTCTTTGTCCAGCTAGCTGGAAGAAAAGGGGCACTGCCTCTTTAAATGCTTCCTTACAGCAGGTCGGGGGAAGGAGAGAACTTAACAGGGATGCATAGGAAGGATGGGAAGTAGCTGGGGCCAAATCAGGTCCTTCCTTATGACTGGAAGAGTATTTATACCCCATGCAGGCCTGGAAAGGGTCTCTTTACCAGGATTGGGCTGGCAGCACCCATCTTGGCAAAAGAATTGGGTTTCCTTTTGACCCACAGTGGGTATTATGCTAGTTGCCCTTTTCCTGTGGGGCTGGGAAGGAATTTTCACCCCACCACCTAGGCGGGGTGGATTTTTTTTTTTTTTGCTTTCCCTACAGCTGGACTGGGACCTGGTGGGGTGGAGTGTAGGAGGGATTAGGTTATAATGCTGCAAATTAAGTAACACTCCTGGCACATGTCCAGTGAAGGGATATGGTTTTTGGATACAATGGACTGGAAAAGGATTTGAAGTAAAGCACCCCTTAAGACATCTGAGTAAGTGGGTTTTGGGACTCCTACATCTTGTACAGCAGGGAGACGACCCCCTCCTTTTCGTAGCCCCCTTTAAGGGAGCTGAGGAAGTGGGGGTTAGGGGTCCTACATCTGGAACAGTGGAGAACTGACCCCCCCCCCTTCTTGTGCTGTACAATTTGTTGCAAGGTGCTCCCAGACATTTTAAGTGAATAAAGTTGCAGCCTAATTAAACTACATCCATGGCCTCCTGTCTTTCTTCCAGCATGGATGGACAATGAGCAAATGGACCAATTGATTCTTTGGAGCAGGTGCCTCCAGGGAAACAAAGTTCATGGGTGAAGGGAAGAAACTCAGATTTACCTTCCATTTTTCAGCCATTGCATATCACTACATTGTTTTACTGTGGCAGAGCTCCACTGCAGAAAGACTTGTGTCTGCATTGTAATTCTCATGGTTTCAGGCATTGATGAACACCAGGTAAAGATTTAGGAATGAGATGGGCATATAGCACAAGAAAAAAAAATCTGCTGCACTTCAGTAAACTACAGTGATGACTAGAGTGAATTCTGGCTTCAGGATTCCATGGCAGGCCATAGTACTATGTAGCATTATTTCCATTCCAAAGAATGACTTAAGGCGAAGGAATGCAAGATTTTGTGATGGCTATAAAGTGAACGTCTGTAATGTTATAAATGCACTTGCTAAAAATTTAGACCAATGGGTAACTAAGAAGCATTTGGAACTACTGTGCACTTTATATAATGACCAATAAAGCTCCAAATTCTCACATTACTTGACTTACAAAAGTGTTCTAAAAGTTACTATATGTTGTTTAGGTACTGACAACCTCACATATATGCTTACTATATTTCACAGTATAGTATATATGCTAGCAGTGTTAGCCTTATCATGCTTTCCATATAATTCCCTATCTTAATTATTTTTTGTCAGTTCAAAGACCTTTCAGGCCAGGGGATTCTAAGGCACTTCATAAACTATATGCTGTATGCAGGAGTCACTTCAGATGACCACCTCCGGGGTCTAGTCCCTGCAACTACTTTTAACTCACTTCCTAAAAATGCTTAGATTTCAAGTTGGTGTCTCCTTAAGAGCAAACAGCCACAGTAAAAAAGTTTACAGCTGAAGAATACTGAAACTACAGGGAGCATCTATGCGGTGAGAAAGTAATTCCTTGAGATAGAATTTCACCAGGACACTGGAGCTAACGTCCATACTCCAGTACCATAGGACTTTTGAGGACCACAAATGGTCAACCTCCATTTTGTGTCTCATATAAAAAGCTGAATATTCAACAGCAGCAATCCCTATTACCATGCTGGAACATGGAAAGATATCAGGTACAAAAGTGCCAGCTACTGCCTCCCTGAACCACTTCCTACGATATTCTGGCTTTTCCTTAGAAATTGCCCATCCAAGTTCAGTGTAGAGTTCTTCCTGCTTGATGCAGGAGGTTGGGTTGAGATATTCCTGGAGGTCCTATCATTTGACACTTTTACTCTCCTCTTTTTAGGATAGGAACTAGGAAATCCCACCAGTTAAAGCTATATCAAATTATGTGTTTTAAGTAGCTTCCTTTATAGTGGGATTTTCATATGTCATTTTACAGAGGGGCAACCTGAAGCACAGAAAGGTAACAAGAATAGAATCTTAGTCTTCTGATGATCCTGTGCTTTAACCATAAGATCATCCTTTCCTCCCTTCTTGGCTCTTTGGGCTACATCCTGAACTAATGTATATCTACAAACTTCCTCTGGAAGTGAATGGATCTATGCTAGTTTACACCAGCTGAAACTCTGGACCTTTGTGTTTGAACAAGAACATTTTCATGCCTTGCCCGGCCTTTCTTC